AAATATAAAGAAACCATACATGTTTCTCTTAAGGAAATATATGTTTAATAAAAAGAAATTTAATTTTGATTTTTGTCATTCTATGCTGAAGAAATAGGATTACTTTTATGGATATGAAAATCAAAGAAAACTCTGAATTTTCTATCATAAACAGATGTACTATAAGGTCAGTCTTGGTTTTTTTTCTCCCTTTACATAGTATCTATACTTTTAATTTCATGAGTCTGTCTTCCAAAACCTAAACCTCCATTACAGTCCTTCTTTGAAAGTACTTATCAAATCTTTTACTTCTTTTACTTCTGAATGTTCTTTTTTGTTGTCCTTTCACAAACTCTCAGTACACAACCTGAACATACACAAAATATCAAATGCATAAGCCAATGCTGAACAGAAAAAAAGTAACAAATCAGATGGCATTTTCAAGACTTACTTTGTAAGCTGAGCTAATTCAAATTCTAATAATCGCTTGGCTTCCAATACAGTGTTTATTTCCTGTTTCATCTGCTTTTCTAAACCTTTTAAATTGTCTGCCTCAAAGGCTTGAGTCTTCAATTCATTTTGTAACAGCAGTCGCTTATTTGCTTCCTGCTCCAACTGCAAGGTTAGATTCTTAACCTATGGAATGAGGAAAATTAGTAGCTTTAATCTCTTTATAATAATCAAATCTCAAAATCATAAGTTCCTTATACTAATAAATATTAGTGTTCTAAGGCATCTCCATTCTTTGTATTACACTTACCATTAATTCAAATCAGACATGAGATCTCATTATGTGTTCTAATCTACAGCTCTACAAAGCTTATAAAATCTTATTTCTTATTTTTTTATAACATTGGGTTAAGAAAATCTCACATTTTTCTGCTATATATTTTCACGTTAGCCTAATAGTAGTCAGCTGTGCATCTGGGTAGCTGTACTGGGGGATATAAGGATCATGTTTGCACACTTTGTATGGCAAAGCGTGTGCATGTGTTCGAAAGTGTCAAACTGGGATTTTACCCACATTTATGCCCCAAATAACAGGTTTTGCATATGCATACCTGAGCATCATGAGGCATAAAACATGTTTGTTTATGCCTAACCCTGACTTTGGTATGTGAGCCTGTTTCTATGAGAGTAAAATGCAGAAAGAATGAACTGATGGAGACACAGCGAATACAGACCTTCTAGATTCAGATGGCAAGGCAGACAGCAGTATGATTACATATTTGATTAGTAGAAATGGTACAAAACAGATAGGCAACCAAATGGAATGATTCAATGTTAGAACTAGGTCTGAAAAATATAGTGAGGATCTTGGCAGGGGGTGAAACCTATTGGATGGAATGCCAGCACTGCCATTCAGTGTTGGAAATTGTTTGGAGTAGACAAAATGCTACAAATGTTGTAAAATATGCAAATGCAGAAATGCAAATAAAATGTTTTGTATGTATCAATAGCCATTCTCTAAAATGTATTTATGACATTCCACTAACTGAACTCAAAGTAGTCACAGGTCTGCTGTATCAGCAGGGCTTTCTAACGGTCATTACATGAATGTAAAAGACTTATGGAAAAGCAGAGTGTGGGCTAAGGTCTGTACAATAATGATAACACTGAGGACATTTAATTTTTCTTTCCATCTTTCAATGAAGTTTGTTTATTTAAGGAAGATGACTAGAGTTAATGAAAAACTATAGTCAACCCACTGATATTCTAAATAAAAAATATCGTTCTCACCAAGATGTAAAGGAAATTATCTTAGTCATTTGAATACAGAAGTAGTGAAAATTATAGTTTCAAAATAGTTGTATCATAAAATACTTGACTTCGTTTTTTATACACTGCTTTGTGGGGACAAGCAAAGTTCACTTAGACCTGCAGAGCCCGTGTTCCTCAATGCTTCTCCAGATGTCAAGAAAGAACAGTGTGCAGACCTCGCTTGTAGACAGAGCTCTTTTCTCCATCTTGATGGAGATTTCATGACAAATCTAGGTACAAAATTTCTTTTTTTTTTCCCCACACTGTAACTGTTTTTAATTTTATGAGAAATCTCTTCACTGCTTTCCACACTGCAGTATTTTCCTACCAACAGTGCTCAACAGTTCCTACCCAGAGTTCTTTTTTTTTGCGGTACTGGGGATTAAATTCAGAACCCTGCACTTGCCAGGCAAGCACTTATTCTGAGTTATCTCCGCAGCCCCCTACCCACAGTTCTAATGAGTGTTTTCAGTTTCTTCTTTCTTCTCTGTCTTCTCTTTCTCCTTCTCCTTAAGTCTCTTTTTTTATATTTATGTTTTTATTGAGAAATAAATGAGACATTTTCACAGCTAATTAATAGAACAGTTTTGATAGTCAATACACTGTACATTGTTACCTTCAGTGGTTATACATAGTACAAGAAGCAGACAGGATATTCTGTCCAAACACTGTTAGTACACTTCTTTCTTCTCATTGAATTAAGTGAAAGTAGTTGTAAATTTATCCTATTTTGTATATATAAATACAAAATGATCTTTCCTTTGTATCTTTTTTTTTAATTTTAATTTTTTTTTGGTCCTGTCAGAGGTGAATATTCTATTGGCATCTAAATACTATAAGTGTTTGAATTCAACTAAACAATCTAACACTGTCTAGCAGTCTATAATA